AACCAAGGGAGCGCTGCAGCCCAAGAGGTACAAGGCTCATCTCATGGGTACTCAGTACGTGTACGACTTCCCTGAGCTCTTCCGCCAGGCGACCGAGAACAGCTGGATCGAGGCTATCAAGAAGCACTCGTTCCTCCGGGACAGGCAGCCAGCGAAGGGAGAGTGCCTCGAGTACTACGAGTTGGTGCTTGACGACACTGACAACTTGGCTGAGGTCAACCGTGACCCTGGCCACAACACTATTGGTATGGTCGGATGGATGGTCACCGCAAAGACACCTGAGTACCCCCGTGGTCGTCGCTTCATCATCATCGCCAACGACATCACCTTCAAGATCGGTTCCTTCGGTCCAGCGGAAGACAACTTCTTCCACAAGTGCTCTGAGCTTGCACGCAAGCTTGGCATTCCGCGAATCTACCTTTCTGCCAACTCTGGTGCTCGTATCGGTCTTGCTGAGGAGCTCATTCCTCACTTCTCTGTTGCATGGAAGGACGCCGACAAGCCCGAGGCTGGTTTCGACTACCTCTACCTGACACCTGAGAAGTACGAGCATTTTGTTGATGGCAAGCGCAACGATGTCATCTGCGAGAAGGTTGAGGTCGACGGCGAGAACCGCTATAAGATCACTACTGTTATTGGTGCTGAGGATGGTCTTGGTGTTGAGTCGCTTCGTGGTTCCGGTCTCATCGCCGGTGAGACATCGAGGGCGTACGAGGACATTTTCACCATCACTTTGGTGACTTGCCGCTCAGTTGGTATGTATTTCCCTCACAGTTTGAAGATTCGTTTACTAACGCTACATAGGTATTGGTGCTTACCTCGTCCGCCTTGGTCAGCGTGCCATCCAGATTGAAGGACAGCCAATCATCCTCACCGGTGCACAGGCCATCAACAAGCTTCTTGGTCGCGAAGTTTACACCTCTAACCTCCAGCTTGGTGGTACCCAGATCATGTACAGGAACGGTGTCTCACACTCGACTGCCGATGATGACTTCGAGGGTGTCTCCAAGATCGTCCAGTGGCTGTCATACGTACCCGACAAGAAGGGCAGCCCCGTCCCGATCTCGCCATCTGCCGACAACTGGGACCGCGACATCACCTACTACCCACCTGGCAAGTCAGCCTACGATGTCAGGCATCTCATCGCCGGAAAGGAGGACGAAGACGGTTTCCAGTCTGGTCTTTTCGATCGCGGTTCGTTCGTTGAGACTCTTGGTGGTTGGGCTAAGACGGTTGTCGTCGGTCGTGCTCGCCTCGGTGGCATTCCTATTGGTGTCATCGGTGTTGAGACACGCTCGGTCGAGAACGTTACACCTGCTGATCCCGCCAACCCTGACTCCATTGAACAGGTCACATCCGAGGCTGGTGGTGTCTGGTACCCCAACTCCGCCTTCAAGACTGCTCAGGCTATCAAGGACTTCAACAACGGTGAGCAACTGCCGTTGATGATTCTTGCCAACTGGCGTGGTTTCTCCGGTGGTCAGCGCGACATGTACAATGAGGTCCTCAAGTACGGTTCTTACATTGTCGACGCACTCGTCAAGTTCGAACAGCCCATCTTCGTCTACATCCCTCCGTATGGCGAGCTCCGTGGTGGATCTTGGGTCGTTGTTGATCCCACTATCAACCCTCAATTCATGGAGATGTACGCCGACGAGGACTCGCGTGGTGGTGTGCTCGAACCCGAAGGTATAGTCGGTATCAAGTACCGTCGGGAACGTCAACTCGACACAATGGCCCGCAACGATCCTACCTACGGTGCTCTCAAGCGCAAGCTGAACGACAAGGCAACACCGGAGTCCGAGCTCAGCGAAATCAAGGCCCAAATGACCGAGCGCGAGAAGAAGCTTCTACCTGTCTACGGTCAAATTGCCCTCCAGTTCGCCGATCTGCACGACCGCTCCGGTCGCATGCAGGCCAAGGGTGTCATCCGACAAGCCCTTCGCTGGCAAAACGCCCGCCGCTTCTTCTACTGGCGCCTTCGCCGCCGTCTCAACGAGGAGTACATCCTCAAGAAGTTCGCCGCTGCCGCCTCGCCTACACACGACAACCCCATGGCCAACCCGCTCACCCGCAGCCGTGGCTTCGAGATGTTGAAGCACCTGTCCAACATCCCCAACTGGGAGCAAGACGACATGGCCGTAGCAACCTGGTACGAGGAGAACAGGCCGCTCGTCAGCGACAAGATCGAGCAACTCAAGACCGACGGCATCGCGCTCGAAATCGCACAGCTCATGCGCAAGGACCGCGAGGGCGGCCTCAAGGGTGTCATGAGCTTGCTCAGCACCCTGCCCACGAGCGAGAAGGAGGAGGTGCTCAAGATGCTCAGCAGGGCATAGTAGTACCCATGTTTTCGATTATCATTCGCTTTAACGGCATGGCATAGCATATGGGGTGGTGTTTCTTCAATTTTCTGGGTGGAATTGGGAATGGTGATGATGGTGTAACTTTAGCGTTGCTACGGTGCGACTGCGTTGTCTTTTCGCAAATTCCCCCCTTCTTTAGCTTATCAGTTTAGTTACTACATAGATGAGGAAGAACAGGGCGGGGTGTTGGGAGGCACTTCCGTTCTTGTTCTTTCTCGTTGTTTAGATGTGTAATTGATCTTCAAGTTCAAAAAAAATCTTGGTTGCTGTGCTTAGTGTGCTGGTGGTGGTGCTTTGCATCCCGCGTCCCACGTCCCCGCGTGGCTACGCGTTATCGTCGGCCTTACACCCCGCGCCTACGAAGACACTAATTGTGCTCCTTCTCTTGCTTTTTGGGGATGTTGCGGCTGCGCGCTCCTTCCCGTTCCTTGGTGATGCTTGTAGCGTGGGAAAGAAGGCATGCAGATCGGCCGAACTCCACTTTCAGCTGCGGGGTTCCGTCGCGGTGATACGTCACTAGGCCGCAAAAACAGCATCACCGATGCAGAAAAATCTACTGTGGTTTGTCGCGACGTTCAAATCTTCTTCTCTTTTCTCTATCATACTGTCCCACACTGGTACTCACTACGTACGCAACTCCATTTCTCAAGCGAAGCGAAGAAGCTTGATCGCCAGTCTCCACATCAACACAACACACAACGAACGAGAAAGGAACAAGAGAAGCCAAAATGGTCTACACTATCGTCGTCCACCTCCTCGCCAAGGAAGACCAGGAGAGCATCAGCAAGCTCAGTGCTAAGCTTGTGGAAGCGAGTCAGGTGTACAGCAAGGATAAGGAGACGCTGAGTTGGTTCGTTATGCAGGATACGGTGGATAAGAGGAAGTTTACTATTGTTGAGCGGTACCTGAAGGAATCTGTGAGTTTGATGTCTCTTATCTTCCTCTTACCGAATTGATGATGAACGTGTTCACGGGGGGCTGGTGTCAACAGTGTGGGTACGAATGATTCGGCTAACGCTTCCAACAGTCCCAGCAATACCATCTCAACAACCCCTACTGGAAGACCTTCGACCCTTATGTCATCCCGCTTTTGGCTGCGCCTATGGATTTGAGGCGTCTGGAAGAGTTGGATACTACGGTTACCTCGGCGGGTTCGCATTATCATGAGGATGCTGTTAAGTCTGAGACGAGCGTGGGCAACATGTTCCAGGGTACTGATGCTTAGATTCGGATACCCATGGCCGGCGCACTAAGCCAAAGAAATACGAGAAGATCAAGCTTACCATCGCCGTTCAATGTGAATGCCATCCCATTTCCTGCTGCAGCGCCTTTTCTCTGTGGCAAGTCCTCAGCACGGCATCTAGAGACCGCCCTCCCCAAAAGTGGAAAGTGCGACTATGACGCGTATCTGCCGTCACAAGCAATGAGTAACAATGTCCATTGCTGAGGCGCCGGTTGGTCTTCGAAGACATGGGCGTCGCTTGTGTTGCGGGAGTTGTTATTGGCTTATCATCTACATGCCATCGCATTACTCATCAAAGTACCGTGGTATCGGCAGGGTAATACCAAGGTTTAGTTTCTGCGCGACTATTCAACAGTCAGACTTGAAGTCTGATGCAATTTTACTTGTGACGAAGTGAAAGGATAAAGTTACGCCTGCTTCCTTCACACTCAACTTTGACCTGCTATCTGAGCTGCGATCTCCGTTCCATCTCCGACCTGTCTCTACCATCAACTCAACTTCCCAATCGATACTGCCGTTTCGAAGCACGATCATGGCTCAGCTTAAGAGCCTACCTGACGAGCTCCTGCTCGATATCGCGCTACGCCTTCAGCCACCCGATCTCAAAGACCTAGCTCTAACCGCACGCCAGTTCCGCGACATCGCGCAAGAAGCTCTTCACACTTCCATTAGTCTCAGGACGCATTACCAGTCTCTTCCGGAACTCCTCAGAACCTTAGTAACAAGGCCAGATCTCGCTAAGAATGTCCGCTCTTTGCAAATAACGGGATATCGTGGTCCTCAGCAAGTTTACAGATCGGCTGTAGGCTATGATGACTCCTGGGACCAGGTCGTCACACACGCAATAAAGTCGACACATTCTTGGCCCATCGATCAGATGAAGTGGGCCAGCAGAGTCAAATACGGCGATCTTCATGCTTGCATTGGCCTATTGCTGGTGTTGACAGATCAGCTGCAGAATCTTGCGTTCTGCTCTGGAGATAACCAGGATTTCATGACGCCGCCGAGCCTGAGTCTGACGTTCCCTGGCATAGCCGAAAGGCATGCTGTTACTGCTCCTGGTACTTTGCTTCTTCCACACCTCCGACGGCTATCTGTTGCTTGGGGAGAAATGGACAGGTCTTGGTCTACTTTTCCAAAACTGCTACACTTGGAACTCGACTGTACAGGGCCCGTAGCATGGGATGAAGAATCAGTTATCCTATTCCATGGTATCACTACCTTGACTCTACATCGCCCAATACTTTACGAATACCAGGCAGCCAATACACAAGACCTCTCGCCTTTCTTCCAACGGCTCCCCGCGCTGAGGTCTTTGCACTTGTGTTTTACCAATTGGATAGAACATTATAACAACATGAGTGGTGGTATTGGGTTTGCTTACGGCTATTATGGGTACGACAACCTATATTACGCCACCTACAATCGGGAACGCATATGCTATCCTGGGCAAAGATTTACGAGTTCCATCATCATCGACCCGCTGATTCCTGTCTCACATTTGCTGGAAGAGCTGGAGCTGAAGTGCTCTGACACCGGAGATTATAAAACGATCGACTACCTCCGACCATCGCGATCGTTGCAACGTTTCACCCTAATAAAGCGCCTATCCATTCCGCAAGGTGTTCTCATCAATTCAACCCCCTACGAATGTTCCCCTCTCCATCCGTTCGAGGCGCTGCCGCCGAATGTAGAGTACCTCAATGTGGCTGATCCAACTACCGCTATGATACAGTGGATCTCCGGGGTTCTGGATGACCGCAGCAAGCTGCGCAGCTTGAAAGGAATATCTCTCGACTTCGATAACGACCCGAAGCAGCGAGTAAAGGACTACAAAGAGGCTGGAGTGCAGATTTTTGGTCGGCTGCTGGAGGCAGGCATATCCGTGCACTTCGAAAACGTACGTCCAGTCTGTCTTGAAGCTTGCTGCAAAGAGTGAGGTGACTTCCTAGAAATACTAATTGCACTGCTGGAGACTAGGGGATGTATATTCAGAGCATAGGTAGTGTTTCTTGCGGCCACTAGAGGCTTTGTTGTTCAATACATGAGATGGTATTATAGACAACGAATGACAATGTTTTCAGCGTGAGCTAAGCTGGTTGACACTACCTATTAGTACAAGAACCCCTAACATCTTTCAATGCCGCCGAAGTCTGTGTCGAAGTTGCTGTCGCAAAGAGAGTCGTTGCCTACTTAGGCGGAGAACTCTTGGTGACTGGAGCATGGACTGTCGCCTTCACCTCACTTACTTGAAAGTCGAAACCTCCCGTCTTTTGCTATTGTGTCGCAAGTACAATAAGAGCGATCAAAATCATAATTATCTAGAAAAACTTCTACCACACTTATAACCGTATCCAACAATTCCTCAATCTTCTTCTATCATCCAATACCCATCCTCAAAGAGCTTTCTGCCTTAACCACGACATCGACACTGACCATACCTAGGCGATCATGCTGGACGCAAGCAACATGGAGCCAATTACGGGTGACCGCAAGGCATATTTCGAAGGTACTCCACCCTGCTCTCACATCACGCTCTTGGCTAACTCTCACAGATCTCCGCAAGAACCATATCCCTCAATTCTTATTTCGTACTTGGAGCAGCAACAGCGGTGGAGGATCAGAACACGCAACTAACAGTGTCAAGGAGATCATTCCGCACGGCTTCATGAAGAAAGCCTCTGGAAGCGGATTCTACGACAAGCCTGAAAGTGAGCTTTACAAAATGGTGCAAGACCATTACGACACCGAATCTGTTTTCACCTCCGAATTTAGCTCATGGACGGGGTCACTTCACCTAGCTCTCTGCTATGCTGGATCCATAGAAGAAGAATACGGTCCCCACGTCGCAATCATGGACACACACCAGCTGGATGGAGACGTCTTGGTCTGGCATGTTCCGCACCTGTTCAAGCCCGACGGACTTCATGAGTACTTGGCTCATGGACCAATCAGAGGCATTGGATACAAGGCCGTATCGTACAAGACGTTAATGTCAGCTGGTCTGGCACAGATATTTCCCGAGCTATTGGAGACCGATCTCGATGACTGGGGTATGAGCTTACGAGACCAGATGTTCAACGGGCCCCCGATTCCGCTTCCAAAGGACAACATTGAGAAATCTGACGAGATGAAGCAGATTCAATCAATCGCAAACCTTTACGGCCATCTTTACTTACCAGTAGCGACTAGTCTGATGTGTCTTCGGCTTCGACCTTGGTTAGGCTCGCGAGCTGAGGGCGAGGTTGCATTGGACAAAATCGCAAATCTGTTTGCAAATACGAAGCCAGCCAAGGATATTTCGAGGGGTAATTGGCTTTGCGAAGGTGTTGTACTGACCGAGTCTCCCATGGGTCCGCACAACTTTCCTGACGTCCGACAGTGGATCAAACTCCTCCGAGCCATCTCTGAACGCACAGATTGATGAGTACAAAGGCTTCGAGAACGAAGATGGCGCTGGGCACGTGGGCTTCTTGATAGGGAAGGCTGGAGGATACAAGAATTTATTGACACTGTATAGATAACGGTTAAAGCCAACGTCGACTCTTCGGTCCTTTCTCGTATCTCAAGAAATCGCGTTGTGCTCTCTCGTGTTCTGTTTAGGCTGATACACAGATGCGTATACTGCATGCCTGGGCAGATGTACCCGGCACAATACATCCAGCAATAATGTGTACATAGGTATTCCTGCGATGGGACTAGCATGCATTTACAGGTGCTGCTCCATGTCTGACGCATGTCAACAACGGTCTTCATTAGTATCTGAGAAATGATCTGTTAAGCTCTGAAGTCATTCTCATATCATTATTACACATACATTCATGATCATGCATCGATTCAAGGCCGAGAAGCTGCACGTAGGCCAAGCGATGCTATTGCAGAGGCTAGATTGCTCTCTTTCAAAATTAACAGTGTAAAAGATACGTACAAGTCACACAATACGAGCCTCGGCGTGTAGCTAGACTCATCATCACGATCGCCTTTACAAGCAATATTGATTCCAGAATCCAGAGTTTCTTCACAGATGATTAGAAAAGGTACTTAACGCTACCAAGAGCTACGGCTAAACTAGTGCATCGAGACTTGGGCCGCGAGAGAAGGCCCGGGGTGAACGAATGGCTTTCCGCTCCGGATGTACACTTAATAAAGAATCGATATCACATCTCTGAAACAAATCAATCGCGCTAATATACAAGTCGCACTACCCCATGGTGTCGGTCGACCACGTGCGGGCACTGTACCCGCCTGAAGCGTTTACTCATCAAACGACGTCAAGTGTTGTTCTAATGCTGTCATGCATAGTTGCGAATAGTGGCATTCAAAACTCGTGGGGTTTGGATCATGCACACAGCCCCCTCTGCAAATGACGCCGGAGATGCAGTCGAAGAGATCACCACCTAGAGATCGAAAAAGGAAGCAAGAAAGGTGGCTCTGGACTTGAAAGTAGAGCACCACACCCTCAGCCGGCGATGCTCGCCTGAACGCATGCGCCTTAGGTACAGCACCTATACGCAGCTGAACGCCTTTACCTAAAAGCTCTCCCTTTCTTTGTACCGAGGCGTTGCGGAGGCATCTCCGCCAGGCTTGGCCGGACTCGCGTGCCCAGGAAGACAGAGAAGCAACTCTTGATCTACACTGCACAGCCAACGGTACGGGAGAAGCAAAAAAGAGCGACAGATGTCACGCCTAAAACCTTGCAATGTATCGCGCAACTCCGCCATTGCATGCTGTCAGTACGCTGTCGGCCGGGGGTGGCGATGTGGATTGGTGGTGGGTTCTTTTTGAGCGAGGCGCACGAATGAGGTGCGCCGGAGCAATGAGCGTTTCTGCTCAGCCCGGTGTTTACGCTTTTGCGGCATGCAACAGGATACACAGTTACATTGCGGATTTTCAGTTCTGATGTACCGCGATAGGCGAGGTTTCCGAGACCCGTTGACAGTGACGGCGGGGGACGTTGCGCTGAGATCTCCCCTCGATGAAGAGCATGGTTTCGATCTCGTATACTCGTATGGAGGCCTGACGTCATTTCTCACGAAATCGTGGTTGCAATTCGTCATTTGTGGTTGCAGACGCTCTCTCTCCCTAGAAATCTAGGATACGCTGTCGACACCTGCACAGTAAAGGAGAGTCAGTAGTAAGGTTCCTCATCTACAACGATTGTCGTTGTTCGAGATGTTTGAAGTGCAGCGGGGGTCTACCTTGTGACCGGGAGAGGTAGGTCCTGCCAGGCCTGGCTGGAATTAAGGTTGACGTTAGAGCACCTAGTGATCCGTTTCGACACATCTGACGTACCAAGGTGTGAGTAAATGCCCCGAAACGGAGCCTGTCGGAACCCTGTGCTAACGACACCATTTCCCGCTATCACATCATTCCGCGAAGGTGTTCCGAAAGAGCCACGTGTTAGCGTTGAAGCCACTGCAGGTAATTTGGTTGCGAAACGGAGACGGCACCGATCATCCTTACATCCCGAGCCAGTGCTTCGAGGCTGGCCAGGTCTGGAATAGAGAGACGACGGTACCATGCGCACAACTTACAAACAAATTGCAGCCATCATGCACCAACAAGATATAGTAGTGATATCTCGTGCACCCCTGGAGCTTGTGGTTAGAGGATAACAAGCGTAGAGCTCACCGGCCGGTGACGGTGGGGACAGAGTCCCAGATGATGGATGCAGGTGCGCTGTCACGCAGGTCCAAATGCAGTAGGCCATCGTCGTTAGTCTGCGCCGCATACTGTAGTTTTCTCGCGTAAAACAGGTCCGCAATACTCGTAGCGAAAATTCTGCTCAGTGCTTGATCTTCGGGTACGCGATGGAACTGCAGAAGGGATGCCTGGCGGGATTGTGGCTGTGTCTACTGTCTACCGAGTTGTCAACGACTTCTGTGGGGCGCTCTCCCAGGAGACGGACGATCAGGATCAGCACCGACTGCGGCTGATGGTAACCGCACGCCGGATCGGCGTTAGACTCTTGTTCCCGTGCCAAGAGATCTTGATTGTCCCGGGTTCTCTTTCGCATGCTAATCCGCGTATATGACCACGAGCGATGTTCTCCGAGCCGACTACGCTTGGCAGCATTAGTTGACGGGAAGTAGATGATCCAGCTCGACGGTAGATGTCAAGATGTCACTTTGTAGTGTTGAATAGTGATGTTGAATAGTGATGTGGGAGTGAATGCGAACCCGTCGATTTCTGGAGGTACAACACGACTGCGTCATGCTGTCCTGCAGTCAGGGCAAGTCGTAGCGGTCGCATCGCCTACCCTGGCCGTCCGAAATATTGATTTCGCAGCATGAGTGCCAGCAGATGTGTGCGAACGGCAGGTGAAGCCGATCTCAGCTGGGAAAAGAAGGGTCGAAGGTGGCTGAGCCAACGATCTGCGGCTCGCGCAGCTTAGTCATATGCAGGAACCAAGCCTAATTGGCAACCGTCAGCTGCCGAGGTCACTACTCATTCGACTGGAAGCGAACGTGCACCTAGCGCGTAAGAGACAGTGGGAAATTGTCCGCTCAACATGGGGAAGTGACAAATTTCACAGCCGACATTACCTAGATTACCATGTTTGCGAATTTGCATACCAACGCGAATGCGAAACAAGTGCGAAGCTCTAAGCTGCCATTAACGAGAGCCTTCCATGCAAGCAACGACGGTGCCTTTAAAATTGTTCAAACATGACCGATAGACTCCACGGCGACAATTCCGCTGAGGACTGCGTTCGCTTGTCGCGTGCGGAAGATGATGTTAGTTCTAGCGATGTATCTAGTGCACGTTGGAGCGAGATTGTAGGGCTTCGATCTACAAAGAGATCTCTGATCCAGGTCCGTGGGTCTCCGATAGTATCTTCAGCTAGTGGGCCAGGAATGTGGGATCTTGATGACGCCCCCAAACTGTAGCTTTTCTGGTTAGCATCATGCTTTTGAGCCTCGGACAGATAAAGGCGACACACACTAAGCATCAGCGGAGCGATGCCGATTCGCTGAAAACCCCAAAGTGTATTGAGATTATGACAGCCATAGCAGCGTGCAGTAAACCAGTACACAGCGAGATAGTGCCAGGTAAAACAACGCACTTGCATCGCGATAGCCTTCACTATGCTATTGAGAGACAAGTGCGCCATCTAGAAGAGCGTCTGACACTCTCCAGATCGACCGCTTCTGGCTTCAAGGCGTCCAGCTTCCGCATAGCTGACAGCTTTGACTTGAAGTGTCTGCTGCCTATCGTTTCATCTTGTTAGCGCAAATCTAGGATACTGCAACGATCTAAAGCTATGGAGAATGGGGAAGTATTGTCCTTGGACCCCTTACACAACCTATGGCAACGTCATTCCCTGAAACAAAAATTCACCATACAACATATCAACGCTAGAAGAATGACGATTGGACTAAGAGATCTCTCCACATCTGAAGCCGGACGCGCGTGGATTCAACAAGTACGATCTTAGTCGATGACTGCCAGCAGTGCACATGTTGCTCATGTTGCCTGAAAACACTTCGGCCTGCAAGTAGAAGTGCGCACTGCTGTTGAAGGAAACCCAGATACCGGGTAAATGAACCTGCAGTGTTTGTTGAAGATAAAACATCAGTTCACTGGGCAAGATGCTGGTATACCGGAAAGAAGAGTGGGGCATGATACGCATGCACGCCACCATGTGTTGTGGAACTGTTTTGTGCAGACCCCTCTTTCTGAATCAAGTCTTTTGCATGACTTACCGTCCGCTACGGACAGTCAAAACATTAATTGCAGGTACAGTATTCGTTGGTATGAGGATGGAAGTTCCGTGATTCCGGACACGGATCTGTATCTATAGCGAGAGGCGAGCCTGGTACAGGTGCTACGAATGCCACCCGCCCACTTGTTTAGTTATCGTCATGCTACTGGGCTCCAATCTCTTTCTTCCGATGAGGTTGTTCAGACCAAATCAGACCGGTTGCACGTCAATTGCCGATTGAGCGGTGAGCATGATGATAATCAGGCGACGTAGTAGGCCACCATGATTAACGAGTACAAGACGTCAAGTGTTGCAACTATCGGAAGCATTGATACCGGTCTCGGAGGCCGCGGACGAGGTCTCGTCGTCTTCCAAATCCAAAGAGCCTCAACGTACCTTTGAATATGGAGCGCCGGGCAAACACTAGCATGCGGTTGTCGTGTAGACTGCTCGATTGGTAATCTCGGTTGTTGAAGACGCAAATGTTGAGGTACAGCGTGCGTGGAGTATTTGGAAACCTGGTTCGAGGTCTGTCCGCGCAGCAGATGGCGCTCGTGGCTTCCGTCTGGTGCAACGGCGCCAGTCACGGCAGCTGCATTTCATCAAGACAGGTCCGCAACCTGGAATGCAAGGGCTTCCCCGCCCTAGATGATCGCCAGCAAGGGGCGGCGGCGCCATCTCCACACGAGGTGCAAAGACAGTTGTGGATGTAGGGCATA